CGTCAAGCGTGCAAGGCAGCAGGTAAGCGTCAGTAAAGAAGGGTCATTTTGTGACCTAAAAGTAAATTATACTACCACAGAAGCCCATCGCACTGACTGGACATCCTTTATCATCCAATAGACCAATATATTACAACTGAGTCCCCGCCTACACTGGATTAAAAAGTATTATGTAGTACTGCTGCATACATTTGAGTTCAAATTTTCGCTTTAGTAAAAATTTCTGTCTACGCATTAAATGTCGCTTTTACATTATGACAACGAGGAAATGTCAAGAAATGTTCGAGTAATCTTTTATATATTATTGAGTGACATTTATAACGATTCCGGGTTCAAGTGTAATAACCCTTTTATATGTTATTTATAAAAAAAGAAAGAAAAGAAACTACTATTAACAATATCTCCTGTGTTGAAAACCCTCAGGAGTGTACTTGCTTCTAGCTTCCAAAGTTAAATGCTCCCAATTTATTCGGAAATGAAACAGCTTATCAGGTATATCCCCGTCATACTTTTTAAATTGGATTTTGTGAGAAACTACACAGACACCCATTCTATCAACAAGCCGTAAAATTCAAGTTAACGATAAAAAGTTTAACAATTGAAATATATGGTGGCTATAAAAGATATTGGGAACCGTCTCTAGGGGGAAACGTGTGATATACGGTGGGAATTATTTCTTTTTACATGCTTAAAGGGTCACAAAAGTTGCATTTGACTGATTTCTAGCGATAGAACGAGGGATACTACTATAACAAGTGTTCAGTATTGTCACATCGTTTTTATAACAACATTCACGCTGACAAAGCTATTGGACATTACAAGGTGTAATATTTTTCATGAATATTTTTGGACCTTTTTTTCTCAAGTCCACAACAGCATTCTTCGATTAGATAGTGTCTGTTGAGTTATGGTTATGTTTATAAACCTATATTTTAGAATCAATAAAATCTGTACTTTTTATATTCCTACCTTGAAATCCTGAGCTCATTTCATTAGAATATTCAGTAAGTTGAGTCTAAAGAAGCGATTTTATATGCATTTAGCTTCATATATTTCCATCTAGGAAAAATATTTCCATTCACCTAACTCAAACCGCTTACCACATTATTAAAAACGCCATCTAGCAGATCGAATCTGCAACTTAATTATACTTAAATGTTAATTTCAGCCATTTTAATGTGAGTTAAATTCTACTCATTGGATTAATTCCATCACACTCATTTAAAAATTTAATTCATATTATGAATCAGTGAAAGTAAATTTTCTGATAAACATGATTGTAAGTAAAACGAAATTCCGGAGTTCCTAAAATTTCTAGTAAACATTATTGTAAGTAAAAAGAGATTCCAGAGTTCCTAAAATTTCTAGTAAACATTATTGTAAGTAAAAAGAGATTCCAGAGTTCCTAAAATTTCTAGTAAACATTATTGTAGTAAAAAGAGATTCCAGAGTTCCTAAAATTTCTAGTAAACATTATTGTAAGTAAAAAGAGATTCCAGAGTTCCTAAACTTTCTAGTAAACATTATTGTAAGTAAAAGAAATTCCGGAGTTCCTAAACTTTCTAGTAAACATTATTGTAAGTAAAAAGAAAATCCGGAGCTCCTTTTTTAGAACTTTGTTTGTTAGAACTTTTACAAAAACATTTGCATCCTTTTTTCCCTCCATTTTTACCTAATATACGTTTTCAAGTGTTTTAGTATCAACCTGTTTCCGCAACTCCGTCGTTCAGCTGCTTCGTCAAACTCTGAGAAATGGTTTTGTTATATAACTGTAGGAAACATTTGTACTTACATGATTTTTCCAATACCTTACCTTATAGGATACTTCATCTACTTGTACGAACGAAATAACAAGGTAATTTCGCCTGTTACTTTGTTCGAATGTTTAATCCTATCTGAATATCTAATATTATAACTAATTCCTCCAGCTTATCTGTGTGAATTAATCCCACATAATTACCAGCTTATTAGAAGCCTTTCAAAACACATGATATTTTTATTTTTATCTATGTTGTATTCGATAACTTGACTTTTTATTTGACGTTCCTTTCACCTCATTTGATAACTTCTCGTAACGTATTTGCTACCTTAAAATACACATAATTACATTTTGATTAACTTCCCTGCATGACTCTAAACTGTTTCCACCTATCTAATTCAACGTATTATTTGTGCTTACTATAAACAGGATGAGCTAATTAAATGTACTTTACTCCAATCTTTGAACAGATTTCACATGCGAAAGTAAACAGTATATTTCCTTATAAGAACATTAACGTTCATTCCGTTTACCAGATTTGATGAGTTAATTCACTCATTGTTTTCGTGCTCATCCACAGTTCCACGATCACCCACGAGTAGCAGACTACCATCAGGACCAAAGGGAAAGCGAACAGTGTAACGAAGCGATATTCGGCTACTGCAAGTCCCCGCCAATCTTTTAAATCTTCACAGAAAAACAAGGTCACGGTGACATTTTCGTTGTAATAAGTAGCCTCCACGGTGTTCTGAAGAAATAAGCCAGATTTGTGAGTATAGCCTTCATGTATATAGAGAGAAACATGTAAGATACAATATTATAAGACACTTCACGATATTACAAAGTGAGTGAGAGGTAAAAGTTTTTTAGTAAAATTCTCTAAGCCTTTTTTTTTTCATTTACAAATAAAATAAATCTTAATTTACATAAAGTACGTCATCATCAAACTAAGATCTTGAAACATATCTCAAATTTTCACACTATAATGAGTCAGGGTTATTTTGATTACAAAATTTTGAGTTTTATATCGGAATAGTGCTGTTGTCACTGATAAGGGCGAGGTTATCAGAAATAAGAGTTAACCAAATAGATAATAAGTTACGCAATTTGAGATCCTTTGCGAAGAAAAGTTAGCGAATCACGTTATAATTCTCTAATTTCAAGACTTTACCGAAAGTTTTTTCTAATGATTTAGATGCGTTTTCAAACATTAAAACACATTTTGTATCCTACACTATGTTTTAATAATAATGAATCATATATTAGATTTAACTGAACGATCACACGAGTCCTACTACGTATTTAAACTGATCAAGAGAAGTTATATCTACTGAAACTGTACTGATTTTAAACTTTCTGTTTTATGATACACACACGTACACATATATATATATAACTATATGTCGCTAAAATTGAATAAAACCTCTGACATCTTTTCTTGACCTATATTTTTCAAAATAATTTGTAATTAATGTATCGTCAAGCAGTCTAAACAGCAACTTATAAATATTGAAAAATCTGTTTGGTACCATGGATAAGAGATTTTTGTGAAATAAGAAGTGGATATGCCATTGTTGAAGTCACTTATAAATTGTATACACAACATTTAAGTATTATTCGTGTTGACTAAGTCAGAAATGAGACTATGAATGCTATGTCAGGATCTTTTTATTCTCAACGTTTTAGGTCGTCAAGATATTAATGTCGCGTTTTGGAACACTTTCATTAACCACCCCTTACACGAACCGCCTAAACGCCACGTTAGTGTAGCCTATATAATGTGTAATGTTTAGTATACTTTAATCCCTTATAATGATGGCACACGACGATACATTCGGCATGTAATGTTGTTTGAATACAACGCCTCTGTAGCCACATAGAATAT